CCACAGGGAAGGGAGCCATAGGGAAGGGAAGAAGGCAAAGGCAGAGCCCTTCTGTGGTCCCGTATGGGGCATCGCACCACGGCTAGTCGGCGCAGGGCAATACTGGCAGTTCAACACGCAGTAAAAAAAAAGGGTATCGGAGCATCCCCAGGGAAACGAGCGGGGGGATATGGGAGGACTTTAGCTCTGGAATGACTCTGGGAATGTGGAAGGTTTGATGGGAGCAATCCCCAGCACAGCAGAGAGGTTTGCAGAGGGACCACCATGGGGCAGGTTCTCTGGGGAGGGGGTGCTCAGACATGGCATCCTGCCCCATCCCACTCCGGATGGAAGAGTCTTCAATGAGGACCTAGAGGACCCAACAAGCATTTAAAAATAGGTTGGAGTTGAACTGCTTGGGCTTGGGAGATCTCAGCCAGGATGTTCCCAATGGCATCTACCAGGAGATGCTTCAGCCTACAGACAGACTAGATCCAAGGTGCAGCAAACCCTCTTTTATTTATTGAATTGAAGTTCAGCCCTCACAAACCTCTGCCTTTCCCTGGCGTGTTCCCCCTTGCAGCCCAGCCTGGGGGAGATGGCATGGTGTCTGCATGCCCTGGTGCAATGAGTGCCCCCAGGCAGGAGGACCACGGTCCTTGCAGACCCCCAGGGCTGTGCTCTCTCTGAGCACACTTACAGTGTTTGCTCCATTGCTGGCACTGACTCTCCGGTCAGATGCCAGATTCCCTGGACAGCGTGGGGCCAGAAGCAGCCTGGGCTGAGAGCCAGGGATTTAATGGCAATTATTTTATGTCTTGTTGTCCAACAATGGCTTGGTCCAGCCAGAAAACTGAGCCGGGAGCTGTGGTGGACAGCGGAGGTAGGACCTGCAGCAGCATGACCCAGGGGCTGTACAGCCACAGCTCTTACAGTGTAGGTGAAGAAGCTGCTATGACAACACATAGTGAGGCAAAATAATCATCCCTGAGCAACGGCAAGGGAAGAAGTCCTCCACCTGCAAACCTCCTTGCAGGTGGCCAGCCCTCCCCGTGACACAGCCAGCCCCTGTTGTCCTGCTCTGCACGAGAGACAGTGTGCCAGAGGGTCTCTGCATCCCACCATCATGGCCACTGCTCCGTCAGGCCCATGCAAGGTCTGCTGCAGAAAACCTGGCCAACCTGCGTTTGCTAGGAAGCGGGCGAGACACACAGGGATCTGGTGTCTCTGTGCTTCACACAGATCAAATTTTTGTTGATGTTTTGTTTATTTGGGTTCACGTCCCTGTGCGTCTGATGCAATAGGCCAAAGCTTTTCATCTGGTGAGGATGCTGTTGGGGGAGGAATCATGCGTAAGAGTAGGAGATGAGGCTGAAGAATCCCAGATGTGGTGGCGGAAAGGATGGGGAAACCCCCCCAGCCTCCGGTGCTTTCAGGGCATGGGATCTGTCCCACTCCAGCCCCAATAACTTCTGGTCAGTTGTAGCATCTTCCCACAATGCCTCCGAGGAGCTGGCATGTCTGAACGCAAGGAAGACTTGAGAAAGAATCCTGATTTACCTGAGGGAGTTTTGTTGATTTAATCTTATGGTTTTTGTCCTGCCGCTCAGCTAATCAGAGTCTTTCTGAGGCTCTCCTGCATCACTCCAGCGTGCTGCTCCCCAGGACCAGGGTTTCTCAATGGCTCACCTTGAAACGGGACAGCGAGCCTCCATCTTCCTTGGGGCCACCGTGGGAAGGATGCTGCTGCTGGGGTCTCACCTGCAGATATGCCCCAGCCCCCCAAAATGCCCAAAGTGTTTCAAAGGAGCGGGTTTTTAATAAAGTTTTATTGAAAATAATAATTCTCGCACATAACAAATCACAGTGCAATGCAAACAGCATGTGAAAGAAGTAACTTAAGAGCAAGGATCTTTTCTCAGAAAGAAAAGAGCCAAAATACTGAAATTACGTCCTTTACAATTAATTGGACTGAAGCTGCCTGGGTCTCCAGCCTTCAGGTACGGCAATGTCCTCGTGCCAGCCCATGGAGACTTCACCAGGCCGGTGGGTTTGGTGCCAGAGCCCGTCTTCTCTCACCTTGGCTGGCTCTGACTCCTGGCCTCGGGCTTCCGTTTCACGGTGAGTCCAGCCAGCCCAAGTGTGCTCCAGCTGGATGGGGGTCACTTCATTCTTCCCTCTCCTTCCTTTCTTGTGCCATCTTTTTGGCCCACGCTAGGCTGCAAGTCTTACCTAATAAAGCCCAAGTTTGAAAGTGGAAATAATCACATCGCCACACCCCCACCCAGCAAACACTGTCGTACATTTACTCAGTCTTTATTTCTGGAGCAGCTTTTTTACTCTAGCCCATGCAGCATCCAGCCTGATGGAGTCCGGGTCCGTGCCTGGCTTCCCTAGGTACATCTAAAGGTCTACACTAAATGTCCATGCTCGGGAAAGAAACGAGCAGGTTTCATCACCGGCTTTTGGAGTCACGGGTGCTCCCCATGAGAAACCTCACCAGTGAGTTCGGCATCTGGCGTGGGAACTGGCCATCGGAGACTTACTGTGCCAGGGCATGGAGCAGGAAGGGCATTTCTCCCGGGACAGAGATCCCAGGTGAGCGTGCAGCTCAAGTCGCTGGAGCTGCGAGCTGCTCTGATTGCAGCCTGACGGCTCTCTGCTAAGTCTGCCCTTTTCCAGAGGGCACGGTCAGGGAGGTACAGGCTGGAAAGGTACTTCTCAGCAAGCACCCGCCCCAGCGTGGATGCGTACGCTCATCAAAGGCAGTTGGATGGGGAAATAGGTCTCAGGGGACATCAAGACGGGTTTGTGCTCTGCCCTTTCGGGCCCACCTCCAGGGAAGGAGTGGGAAAAACGTTCTTCTAGATGTTGTTGGGGTTGAGTTTGGAGGGTGGAGAAAGAGACAGTCTTTTGTTCACAAAATGAGGGTTGACGTACACTTCAGTCATTTCCTGGTACTCCTCTGCTTTCTCCTCACGGAGATCAAAAAAAGTTTTCAGTAGGTCCAAGCTGAAGTAGTGCAGTGCGACAACAGTGATCCCAGCCACAAAACAGAGCAAGCCTGGAAGACAAACATGCTCTCTGAGAGCCTTCCTGTAGATACCAGCACACTTCCCACCCCACACCCCTCCTCTGATGGCCCCCTGCCAGGGAACAATGCTTTCTCTTATGGAAGATGGCCTTCTACTCTACGAGTTGGCTTCAGCTGCTGCACCCAGCACCTTAAAACCCAGGCATGGGTCTTAAAACCCAGGCAAGTGATCCCCATCTCCTTGCACTACTGCACCTCAGGGACTAAAAATCCCTCCACCACCCTTGAGATGGGGATGGTGTTCCCCCTTCCGCCAGCCCTCTCCACATCTCTGCCAGGGTCTGCTTTGCCAAGGCACAGGCTGGGGCTCTGGCGGGCTGCACTCCCCAAGCTCTCTCACCTCCGCCTTCTGTGGGGGGGGGAAAGCCCTGGGACTCTTGCATGCCCAGAGGGACAAAGTGGTGTGCCCTGATGCAGCTTGGTGTCCTTACCAATCGCTAGCGTGAGCCAGAAAGATCCCCCATAGCCTATGCGCAGGGTTGCGGTCCCAAACTGGATTGGGCACATCAGGGAGTTCCTCACAGTGGAGAACGAGAGCAACGAAAAGATCATGAAGGCCCCTGTGACCAGGAGCATGTAGCCACCATAGACCAGGACAGGCATGGAGAAGAGCATGTTGGAGATGAGCCAAGTGCAAAAGGCCACCCTGGAGACAAGAGAAGGCCAACGGATGAGTTATGCAAGTACCACAGACTAGGATGCTCTATGTGAGGATTTCCATGTGGGAGGAGGAATCTGGACTCCAGGTTGCATTGTATGAGTCCAAGAAGCCCTGTGGGCAGGCTGGAGCGATTCCTAACCTCCCAGGCTGAGTAAGCAGATGTGCAATGCTCACACTGCTACGTCCAGAAGGCAGAAGCCCGGATTGCCTCTTCCCGTTGCTCAGCCCACAGACCGTACCAGCCTCAAGGAGGCCACGGCAGCCCACTCAGTGTATCTAGACCATCTCAGCTCCCTGCCCTTCCACGTGTGGGGCAGCGCAGACCCCACAGAGACTCGGGATAATTGCAGAAGCAGGCATAAGTCATTTGCAGAAGCTCTGGGCTTGGCTGAGGAGCTCAGTGACAGGGGAAACCTTCAGCTATGGGCCAGGAGCTCTTGCTCCATGGCATTGCCGGGCCCCTCTCCTAGCTTCTGCATTCCT